GGGAGGGGGGGGGGGCGGTTATGAAAAATTGTGTAAATTGTAGGAAATGTGGATACCATGAACTTGATACTTACTTTCACTTTAAACCTTTATTTTAGTACCCTGCAAATAATTCAAGTAAGCTGTTTAGCAATGTATGAACATTTTTACACATGTCCTTCCCAGAATGTAGAAATATCATTATGCAGGTTAAAGTCATTTTTCAGACACTACGAAAGGTTCTGCACAATATAATATTTGTAAACCTCGCGCGAATAGTGGTGTATGCGTGATGTGTAAGCTGAGAGAGGATAGTTCAGTAATAGTTGGGGTTGCACAGCCTCAGCTGCGGTCACATGAGTGGAGGGGAACTACTACGAGTATTAACTTTTCTAAAAATATTGAGTTTGGTTTTCCCACCTCTGGTCCTCATCACTGCTTTGCTCTGAATCTGAATCTCCAAACTGGTGTCTTCATCCGTTTTGCTCATGTCTGAATTTGATGACTCAAGGCTGACAACCAATTCCTCAACAGTGTTATCGTCCAAGTGTTCATTTTGCATGTATTTCTCCTCCACTTCTTGTATGTGTCTACATACGGGCAACCACTCTTCTTTAGTGATGAAGGAGAATCTTTCTTCCTTCAGTTTTTGAACGTCTTGCAATTGGGATGTGACGTTCTTCATCGCCACCCAGTTTTTAACCATTGCCCACATTTTTTTAATGGGATTTAGTTCTGGGTGGTAGGGTAGCAAACGAAGTGCAACATGCCCATGTCTTGCCAAAAGGCTGTCAATACAAGTAAATTGATAAATGAATAAAATGTATGTATCAAACAACTTTGAAACTTTTATACCGACAATCAATAGAAAAACACCGAGTAGAGCAATGTTTTTAGTTTGCTTATAGCAGATGACGCACCGATCTAAACACAGCTAGAGCTACAAACCAATTGAAGCAGACAGCCCTCTATCGCATGCTTTGGACGGGTCCATCTCATACTACCGAAATCAGTTCTTTGCACTCTGCCTATATTTACTTTTTTAAAAAATAATATGATATATTTCACACTGATTTACATAGTTTCTGATGATTGTATTCAAAGCTGATATCAATAATCCAAGTCATTTCATCATGGAATTACAAATCACGACATATTTGTCAGTGTCCTATAGTTTCAGCAGATCTTATAAAGGAATTGTTTTCCTTTCCTTTTGTGTTGCCATCATGTGTTACTATGGTCTGGAAATAATTGCAGAAAAGACAAAGCACATGATCATGTCTTGGCATAAGAATTCAGGACAGAACCATAATATAATGATAGCTGATGAATTGTTTGAAAATGTGACAAAGTCCAAATACTCGGAGACACCACTAACAAGTCAGAATGACATTCATGACAAATCTAGAGCAGATTAATTCAGGAAATGCTTGCCATCGTTCAGTCTGAAATCTTTTGTCCTCCCATCTCATAAAAAACTAAAGGATAAAATATACGCAAGTGTAAATTTGCCAGTTGTGCTGTATGAGTGCAAAACTTAGTCTCTCACTTTGAGGGAGGAACATGGGCTGAGGGTCTTTGAGAACAGAGTTATTTGGACCTTAAACGGAGGAAGACGGATCACGGAGATAATTGCACATTGATGAGCTTTACTGCATGTACTCCTCTCCTGATATTGTTCGGGCGATTAAATCAAGAAGGATGAGGTTGGCAGGACATGCAGCACACATAGGGGAGGGGTGTTTACAAGTTATTGGTTTGGGAGTCCTGAAGGGAGAAGACCGCTGGGAAGACTAAGGTGTAGGTTGGTGGATAATATTAAGAGGGACCTTAGGGAGACAAGAATCCATGGAGCAAACTGAGTGCAGCTAGCTCAGAATAGATTCTGTCTGGTGGTGTTCTTTTCTGAACATGGTGAAGAACCTCCAAGTTGCATGAAGAATGTGGGCTATTCTTTGACAAGCCGAGTATACAGTCTACTTTTCAAAGAGTGTCCTGCACCATGGAGTGATGTAGTATTAAGCTCATAAACCCATATAAACCAACTGCAGTACATGTAGTAGAGTCAATTAACAGTAGGGATGGGACAACTGCTCAAGTAGTTTGGGTGACCAATTTAAAATCTTTGAATTTTTTCAATCGCCATCGTGCTCGAATGTTTGAGCAGAGTATCATGAGCTATGTTCAGGCATGTTTCATACTGTCTGAGCTGTTTGGACAGTGATTTGTATTTTGTCAAAAGGACGTGAGACTCAAGCAGCAGGATTTAGTCTATGTACTGGACTTGTGCATAGCTGACTGCAAGCATAGGGATGTTGTTCGTACTTTTATAAATTGAATTGCTCAGTTAAGCATAATTGGCAAGTGTGGTCTATATTAAATCTCCAACATCACTCTGTTTATCATATGATTCTATTCTGTTAAGTTGCTACATGCCATGATCAAAATCACCACTGGCACTAGCACAAGTTAACTTTGTTCTCCCTTCCTATTGGTAGGCTGCTCTACTCTGAAGTCACAATTTATTTTATTCTGGTAACATTTGCCAAGACATTGCCATGGATTCAGGAGAAGGCACTGGTGATCGTACAGTGCACAAAACATTGACTTCACAACATTTACTATCGCTACTGTTTGTATGAAATACATGTTTTCCAAGAAAATACTCTCATTGGCTTGCTTTCACTGTACTTCATTTTCTTTTCTCACCACTTGTTTGGTGCTCAGCGGTCGCTAATGCGAACTGGTATCCAGGTTGCTATGGTCTTCGTGGAATTAGACTCAGTCCGATAAGCCACTTAAGTACTTTAAGTACTTTTCTGTGCTATAGACTAACTAATACAGTCTCAAAGTTACCATTATCTGAAACTACTTATATCTAGAAGTGACTGCTGTCTGGAAATGACCAATGTTTAGAAATTACTGCCCTCTGAAAAACAAGGTTTGTGCCCAAATTTGTCTTGGTACAGTATGCAACTTAAACATCAGTGACGCTCTTAGAAACATAACCTGCTGCATTCCTCAGAGTTTTTCAACTCTACCATTAGATGTTCTCCAGGCAAGTTTCTTAACCAGTAACTATCTGTCTAGATTTTCTAGTTACATAATTTAATACATTTATTAATTATGTATAATTTCCCAACATTTTTATGGTGGATTCTTATTGCAGAAGAATATTAAACACAGGTGCAATCAAAATGATATGCCTTCTTAGTTTTATTTTATTTATCTTGCTATCTTGAGTAGCAGTGTGATCACTCATTGCTATCCTGTTTGTTTAGTATGTTCCTGCACATGTTACAGTCATTATTAACTTGCTTACTTCTTAGTCTGATTAGTATATATTTATTCGTGATTTGTGCAGAGTAATAATGTCACTATTTATTATCTGAAAAGTGCATAGGAATGACTTCTGTTAAATAACATAGACATACTGTTCATTTTCATTTATAAAGCCATCACCATGAGTTTAACCATGTGGGAAGTATTGCAATCATTTTTGTTGTACATTGAGACCTGTTTGTGTAGCGAAATTATTGATTTCCCAGTGTTCGAACAGTTTAAGATTTGATTGAGTTCTGTCATACTATTGAAACTGTTTAAGAATTTCTCAATACCATCCCTAGTTAACAGAATAAATAATTATATCTAACTTGATAGCAGTTGTACATTAAAAACTAAAATGATGCTTGAAGATTGTGACTAACTCATAAGAGTATCCAACTGTTGGGCAGTAAAGTTAACCAGTTAATGAAAGTGGTGTAAAGTCCAGGAAATTCAAATGAAATTACATTTATTTTGCAGAATCAGAAGTATTAGCAATTCTAGAAAAAATCAGTGGGATTGAAAAAGGTTATGGGAAAACATACATTCCAGATATTAGCAATTCTAGAAAAATCAGTGGGATTGAGAAAGGTTATGGGAAAACATACATTCCAGGAACATAGAAACAAGGATTTACTTTTGCACATACAAAATGCAAATACTACGCTAATACCTACAACTGTAGAAGAAGTGACTTGATTTACTGGAGTACTTAGCCTATGCTTTCACTGTAAATTTCTGTTACTAATCTGGAAATATGAACGTTTCTGTGGTGTGTGAAGTTATAATGACCTCTTAAGGCTAAAGAACATCTTGTCTTAGATTTGGGTAAAGATGGTATATTGATGGCCTAAAAACGTAGGCACGGGATTTACTTCTGCTGAGACAATGGACTTCGGTGGAACACTCCAGAGAAGGAATGTATGTTGGAGACTAAAGAAAATGAGATGTTTCATTCAAAATTGAATATTGAAATTAAATGTATAGAAATGAGTGAGAAAGTAGAGTACCCTTTACTGTTTACAAAGTTTCATGTGTAGAAATACAGTTAACGAAGTCTTACTTAGTCCCTAGACCTTTACATTAATAAATATTACATCATTTGCAGCATATTTGTTTCTTAGGAGCTCCAAAACCAGATTACCAGAAGCGTGTGACAAAGGTTCTGAACAGAGCAAAGATGAAGTAGAGTTGCAAGGAACATTAATCCTTTTAAGTTCAATGGCAGTTATATGTCCCATCTACTTCAACAGTTAGTAATTCTTTACATCATTAAATGAAGTACAAGTAAATAAAAAATTCCTTTCCATTCCTGTCTTGATCTCTCAAGTCTCTACAGAATATTTTTCCAGTGAACATTTTATATGCACTTCTTTTGTCAGGATGCATGAGGAGGATAAACACCGATTGTAATTGGTGCTCATATTTTCTCACGTCATTTATGTGTTTGGTCAGATATTCGAAATGTTCGTATATCATCAGTGACACGTCAATTTTGTCAGTGTGTACAAGGAATGGTTGGAAAAAAATTGTAGATGCTGAGTGTGTGTTTGTCATCTGACATAGAGTGTGATTGTAAAGTGCAATGTCAGAGGCCACTCAAACCCATCAGAACTGAATCCCCGTAGCATCATGACAGTCGCATCAGAACCACCACTGTGCCTTGACAGTGCTGGTTGTTGTGACCTCTAGCAGGTATAAAGCTCAGAATGAAGTATTGACAGCACTCATTCTGGTTGCTGTGAAAGCTGCCATTTTTGTTGGTTGAAATGTAACTGTATCATTTTTACGTACTCATAAATAATTCTGGTTTACTCATATTATTCTGTATAGTGTTAAGACTATTTATTAACTGGAGAGGTTAGGTCACACTGAGCTGTGAGGTTGATCATGAATGCTGAATCAGGATAAGCTGATACTGTCCTGCCTTAACTTGATTGACTGAGGAAAATCACAAAAAGGTACAAAATATTAATTCTGTAACACCGGTCTTTCTCTTGGACATGAACTGGATACCTCTTGAATACAAATCATGTTAGATCATTAAACCTGCTTAATGCATTCAAAAGCAGAGTAATGGCTAGTGAGGTGGCCAACCTGTAATCCTCTGTCAGAATAAACTAATAATGCAGATTTTGTGATACTGTCAATTGACAGTTCTTTGCCAGACATAAGTGGTTTTTTGATCTGTGTGTGTGTGTGTAAAGATGATGTAACATTTTATTATAACTTTTGTGTTAAGAATTGGTTTTTATGTGAAACTTTATTAACGTGACTTGTTTGCAGCATGATGATAAGTTTAAAGATACAATACATCAAAAGAGGGGATCTGAGAGAGACTGAGTTTGAGACTGCAATTTGTCCCTTTCCTAAGTCAGTTCAATCTCTTTAACAAGATCAAAACCTATTATCCAATATTCAGTTCACTATTCTGCTCTCATTTTATATCTGGGTCTTCCATGAAGGCTCTAGTTGTATTTTATTTAATTTTGTTTGTTGAGCAGTGACAATCTGTGTAATGAATGTGCAGAGGTGTCTGGTTCAGTTCTGCCACCACTCAGAACATAAAATGAAAATCTGTCATTGTATTGATAGCCAGTGATGTGAAAATGAGAGTAGATAGACTTTAAAAGCACATGGTTTTGTAATTAAAAACTTGTCATATCAGCTGAGGATTGAACACAATATTTAAAGAATATGTCCTCAGTAACTTAGTTGTAAGTTTCACACATTCAATGCAAAATGTCAGATTGCAGTTGTCAGATATGAATATTATTTTTTAAGTCAATTTTTTTATATTTAGCACAGTAAATGAGAATTTTTTCTCCATTGGCTAATGATGTTACTGGCCAGTACCAGCAGCTTTCTCACACCACTTACTTTACTTTACTCTATGTGCAACCAAAAGAGCTTTTTTTGCAAAATAAATGTAAATAATGCTGAAACTGACAGCCACAGATGGTTAGGTGCACAGCCTGTAGTGAACACTGGAAATAAACTGTTTCTTGTGGTCTCACTTTAAGTACAGCGCTCATTACTTTTGGGGAACATCATGTACGCAGGGCTGGGTACTCCTCTGTACTGGCTTTGCAACAAAATGTTGGTATGGTCAAGAGGCAGGACTACAGTAACTTCAGGGGCCATTGTGAATCTTGAGTGATACATTTTAATGAGCATGAAGCATCATATTACATTGGCTGTGACTGTTTCTTGCACAGTTCATATATCTCAGAAAGGAGCAGCAACACATGCAGAAATGTTACATAGAATGATGAAATGGGCTTCACAAAACTTGTTATGTGCATGAAGGTGACTGGCTTCTGGGGTGATACACTGTGTAGTCTGGTAGAAGTTTACTGACATTTCAGGAGTGCTTGCTGTCTCTTTCATCGGGATGATGAGATGGCTCACCGCCCCGATGATGGATGCAGCAAGTGCCTCGAAGACATCAGTACTCTTCTGCCAGACCACAGGATGCAACAACCCAAAAGACAGTCATCTTGATACTGCCGTGAAAACTCGCATATTGTGTGTATTTTGTGTAGTAAGAGTCTGCTGTAGAAGTGCACTTTAATTAGTACCTGTGTGTTCAGACCTGGTCTTGTTGAAGTAAAAGCTGTGGCAAGAGACGTTTTTATTGTCGTGATGTTTATCCCATTGGTGGCCTTTGTAGAGACGAATGAATCTAGCACGATGGACTCGTGGATTGATATTGGGCAAGAGCATCACTTTTGTTTACTCATCTGCTCCCAGGAAAGTGGTAGTGTTGCCTGTGGATGTAATGAGCAGTGCAGCAGAGGCATGCATTGTGTCTCTAATTTTATGAGAGATTATGAATGCTGTGCTCAGGTAGGCGACTGGTTGTGTAATGAACTGACCCCATGTAAATATCACTCAGCCCATTGTACAGAAATTAAATATTGTTTCTAGGAAGGTATTTTGCCACTACTTGTAGAACTTGGTGATGTCTCTTGTCCTGTTAGTGGCCAGTGTATATGTTGTAATATTTAAATTTATTTATTTTTGATCATCTGATGGTGGAGAGCATCATGTGATCCTTAAGCCCCCTTGCTTGTCTTAATATGACAATTTGTATACATTTTTAAACAATGTGACAGTCTGATTTTTTTATTTCAGGGAATAAATGTTTTAATATTGTGTGGCAAAGCCTCTGTTAATTCAATATGAAATATTTTAATTTAAAAAAAATACTTTTTGTCTTGCTATAACAAGTACTTTGAATTTTTGTAGATTTTTATGTTTTTCTAGTAAAGGAATGCCTGATGCTTTTACTCTTAAACAGAAGTAGTTGATGTATAGTTGTTATTTAGAAGGAAGTGTAATGATGAATTATTTAGATTGTGAGTTGATACAGTCAAATGGTTGCAGTTAAGGATGGCCCGTCCTCTCTGTTACACTCGCATTCTTATATAATGCTGAAAGTATGTGACTAATAATTAAATTAAATATTGCAAACATATTTTTCTGGATCATAGCTACCATGTAGCTATTAAAGAGCTAAGAGAATTATAGTACATTTGCACCCAGTTTCCTAACACACATTTTAAATGGGTAGTTATTGAAATTATTTTCAGTTGAAAATTGTGTTTGTTGTGAGTGATGATGTTTATGATTGTCTTGTTTGCACTAGTCATGTAGACACATCCAGTTTGAAGTCGCAGTATTCATTATCCTCACTTGCATAAAATCATGTGACATCAGTCACTCTGGCTTCAAGATGAAAGGACAAGTTTTGATGCATTTTTAGTGTCCCTAATTTCATGTAATGACATTAGGATATTAAATTAAATATGCTAAATAAAGTGGAGCATTTTTATTTGTGTTGTAATCCTGCATGTGTGTAGGACAGTGGGGAAGAGAGTGTCAATATTACTACTTATTCTTTCAGATGAACTTTGTTTCATATTACATTTCATTTATGCTATCAACCTTTTCATATAGACTATAGTACTATGCAGCGTACAGGCATGATGCACTGGGAGAGAGAAACTGTTCAAGTGTTATGAACCATATGATACATTAGGAAAGACATATATTCTCAATGAAGAGATGAAAGTGTGATGTAAATTTAGTAAGAAATTGAAGACTTGCAGTAGCTGAACAGTATCTTTCCAGGTGATTAGTTGTGTCAGTACACAATGAGTTTCCAACATTTGGGGGTTTTGCACCGTACTGACTTGTGATAAGCCAAGCATGATTTGGAAAATGATGACAGTTGAATTTTGTTATTACCTCTGGTCTGAATGTATGTTCCACGACCAAAGTGTATCATGTGCACATAATTTTGGGGATTACATTATGTTCCAGAATGAATGTAGTTACAAAATATTTAAAAAACTAGTTTCTGGTTCATCACGGAATTTCCATACCTCACAAATACAAATCACAGAAAATTTCCAATCAGAATATGGCAAAAGTGAGAAGGTTCTTTGAATTAATTTAATTTAGCAGTTAAAAGAACTTGTAAGTTTGGAGGATGTGGTGCCTACTTACTAGTTTTAATTATTCTTTATACTTGTTTATTTTAATGTTTATTTGCTGTTGAATAATTGAAGTTCATAGGATAAAAGGTAAAATTTTCTTACACATGCTTTAAGAACACATTGAAAGTCCTGGAATATGTTTGTGAAAAGAAATAGTTTTATCCAATTTTCCTCTCTGAATTGCCATTTAGCATGACAAAATTTGGGAAATCTGATTTTAGAGTGCTGAAATGTACTTATTAGATACATTTATATTCTTCACACTTCTATGTAGAAGTATAGAGCATGACAGAATTTGAGACATCTGTTTGTAAGTATTCTGTACAAAATTTAGTAATTGTCATTTTATTGCTAAAAACACTTTTCTGCAAAGCATCCTTGATGAAATACAAAATAAGACAGGCATTGACTGTTGCATAATTATATTTCTAAAGCACAAAGGGAGAAGGCTTTGTTTTGCTTTGCACTGTTCCCATGGTAACAGTATTGATATTTTACCTGAAAGAGCTTTGCATGTCTGTGTAGAGAGGCTTTAGCCATGCATCAAGACCAGGCACTGAATGTTAGAGAATCTCTGTTTTTGTTATTGCTGCCATTGGGTTCATTGTTTGAGATGACTTTCAGTAAATATGTTGAAGGTCATTTAAGAACAGCTGAGGTAAGTTGCTGTCTGCATTGATTGTGTTTAAGAAATTTGGTTGGGAAATATTAATCTTTCATGAAGTTTGTACCTACGATGTGTTGCATGTTCATTTTCCAGACCTATCATTAGATAGCTTGAACAAGAAGAGTTTATTTTTTTAAATAAACATTGTTGAATTTCATTGCCACTCAGAGGGACAGATTGCTCTCAACTTTCTGTGGGCCATCACATGACTTTCTAAAATCAGCTCTTACCAGAAATATGAATTTGGACCAAGAATTCTGAAGGTCATTTCTGTAACAGTTTACTCAAGCATATCAGAATTGTAAAATTCTTAATACACTGAACAAGTAGCCATATTTTGTCAAACATTAAAAATGTTTAACACAAAATTAGTGATATTTTACTATGCTGTTACACTTTCATTATAATAATGTCAAGATTTTAATTCTCGCAAAATACTTGTTTTGAGAGCATCAATATACAGTGCTGTTAGGATCTTTTGTGGGTACTGCATACAAGGAATTAGCTGAGTGACAAGTTTTGTTTAAGAAATGCCTTGGCATAACATACAATACCTCAGCTCAGCTATTTTCACATGTGAACTGTTCATATAACAGTGAACAGATGTGAATATGTGACTTCCATACTGCTCATTGTGCAGCTGAAACAATTTTTTCCCTCATTTGCAGAACTGGGCATTTGTTGCACGTTTCTGCTTCCTGTCAGAGGAGGGCCAGTTTGAGTACGTGATAGAGTATGATGTGGTGAGTTGAAACTGGCATATGAAGTCTGTCGTGGCATGCATAAGAATAAGTAGTTTTTCATTAATGACAAAACAGAGCAGAATGCGTTGCACATACTTTCTCCTGTCCAACATAACAAAGAAATACAGTGTTTGAAGGGCTAATATTTTACAGGCTGTATCTCCGGTGTTTTAAGTAAAAACAAATGTAAATTCATTTAGCAGCTAAAATGAGACTGGATGTGTATCTTATGTTTTATTTACCTGACCTACTCACACACTAATTATTACAGTGTAATGGTTAACATTCCTTCAAGTTTGGAATGTCTTGTGTTTGAAACTCAATCTGGAGTTTGTATCTACCAACAGACGTTTGGCAGTTTTTCTACATCTGACCAGCTGCTTGTTTAGCTTCCTAACATCACTTGTACATCTGTTGTAACTTGTGTTCATTATTCATAATTTCCATACTTGGATGAGTTCTAATGCCTTAGTTTGAGCTTACAAATGGTGTATTGCCCTCCTCCCGCAGGAATATGCTGTTCAGAATCTGCTGCTGTACTATGATTCAGACACCCAGTGGCCAGCAGTATATAAGACAAGCAAGGTGAGGGCAGGTGGAATTGCATAAACTTATAGTTTCCATGATGTATCACCAGAGGTAGCTGGCCCCACAGGAGGTCACTTCATTTTTGAGTTGCTTGCAGTATTACTAGTTGTGAGATTTGGATGGGGTCTAGATTCCCTGCTTACAGGTCTGCACCTGGCTAAAGAATCAAGATGTGTAGATTGATGATTTATAAAGTAGTTCAGAATACCAAGTGGCTCTCAGCCTGAGAGATTATGATAATGAAGTGATAAGAGAAGTAACTGGCAAAGAATAATAGTGGCATAGAGGCTGATGGAAGTTCTCTGAGAAATACATAGCAATGTCCAATGCAGTTCCAAAAATCTACTTTTAAAATGCTTTCCCTGCTCCCTTAACCTTTGACATTGGTACTGGTTTTTGTGTTTCAGAAACTTGGAGCTCCAATACAAATAAAACAAATTCCATCCAGTGTAACCTAAGTCCTTCAAAATGTAATCACAAGACTTAATTCTGTGACTCAGTGAACATATTTTTAAAAATTAACAGCATATCATATCTTGAAGATTTCTGTCTTCTGTGTTGTTGAGCTGTGTAGTCTGGTTGATGTTTACCAACGTTTCTGAGGTCATACTGCCTCCGTCATCAGGGTGATGAATATCATCATCATCCTGATGATGGAGGCAGTATGACCACTGAAACGTTGGTAAACATATACCAGACTACACAGCGCAACAGCCCAGAAGACAGAAATCTTCATACTCACCGCTGTGAAAACTTCAAATCTTACATATCATATCTTGTTTGTCTTGGTTTATGTTCCAATAAACATTTTAGATTTTTGTTTCAGCATTGAAAACAGCATAGGTTCATATTTTTGATAATAATATCCTTCCCATAACAATATATTTATTTGTGGCATGACATTATTTTCATTGTTAATATCACCTATTAATTTCTGTGTGCAAACCATTGTACAGTAAGCACTCTTGTCTTTTGCACAGACATGTCTGGAGAAGGAGTCTGTCCTGAACGTGACATTGTATCAGGTAGTCAACCTTACTGCAGTGGGAGCAGTCAGCCTGTCATCAGGCTGTGTGTTTCGGAATGGCACCCAGAATAAGAAGGGCTGGCTGAGATGCCACAATGTAAGGAGGTTCCGCTCTGCCCGGGAGCGTTGGTGGTTTCTTAGCGTCAGCAACTGCAATGCCACCAAGGTGACTCAAGAGAGATGCTGCATTTTGCATGCAATAAGAAAGGCTCTGTAGAAGCAGTGATGGCACAGTCAGTAAGATGACTGGCTATGGATTGCAGAGACACAATTAAGTACTCAATTGTGGAATTTTTCTCTTCAGAACAGTGTTCAGTATTGTTGTGAGGTGCAGGGATAAATGTGGCAAAAGCTTGAAGCTGAAATAGAGAAGCCAAAATCTCTTTGGGTTGTCTCTCCAAGAGGAACATGACTTGGTTTTACAGTTGTTTTCTGTGAAGCGCAGTTACTTCTCAGCATAATCACCTCTGTGGTCTAAACTTCTGCCAAAGTTTAGGTAATTTTATATGCATTTATGAGAGCATAAATGTGCATGTCATTGACATAACCACACTTCACTGCAGCCTTCATTTCATTATCTGACAAGAAATGATGTTTTATAAAATGTTCCTTCAGTTTTGAGATGAGATGGAAGTCAGATCTAGCAAAGTCTGGGCTGTATAGTGGGTGGTCCAAGACAGTAAAACCAAGGCTGAGAATCTGTGCAGTCATTACTACTCTCATTTGAGGCATTGCATTTTGTGTTGGAGGAAAGAAAGCTGCTACGTTTAAAGATAAACTCTTTGAATATGTGCCTTCATTATTTGCAACATTCTAACATATTTGTAGCACTCTAGAGTGCATGGTGGCACCAGTCGGTACAGGTTATGAATGCCCTATTCTATTAATGTGCTAGAAAGCCATGAGCTGACTTATCAACAGAATATGTGAACTTGATCTTTGTGATGGTATTATTTTGACTGTCTCTTGTTTTCATGCTTGAAATAATGCTCCCATCTTTCATCACTGGTGACAACATTTCACAGAAATTCATTGCCTTCTGATTCATATCACAGCAATAGTTATCAGGAGGTGTTCATCTGCTTGTGTTTCAGTCTATCAATGAGCATTTATCATTTCAGGAACCCATAATTTGTACAACATTTGGTATCTGAGATAGCATGTATTGCCTATACTTGCTCACATGAAATGGCAGTTTCTTTTTCTGCTGTCTGCTGTGAAGCATAAGTCTCCTTGATTATTTAATCAGTACTGATTTGTTGAGCCTCCTCAGTTGCTGTTCAGTCTCCTGTTGTGCTGTTTGTTGTCGTTCAGACCGGCATGTCTGGGGTTTACATTGTGGACAGGTTCAGCCCAATGTCAAACAGTAGGGCTTCTGATGTGTACACATTTTCCCCCATATAACGTTCATTTTCTGCAGTCAGAAACTTGATCATGGTTCACTGTTATTCCACACTGACATCGTCTCTCTCCACTGCATCATTTTCATGGCTATAATTCAGGTACAATTACTGGCACAACTATGAAACTCACAAAAATGTGGGAATGCTTCATTGAATCAGTGCAGTTTAGTTCACACTGCTATTGGGTGTGTTTCTTAGAAAGAATAATTGAGATATTACCTTTCAACATGCCCACATTAAAGGCTTTGTGGCACATTTTCACATTATAGGGGTTTTGTTGCAGGGGCTCAACATGCGGTACAAATTTCTGATGACAAATGGTCCACCTGGTGATTACTGGCATGAACACTTCTCAGCTGATGAATTCTGTGAGTGAGTAGTTTATGCTGTCCATGGGATTCACAAGTTGTATGTTACTCTTCTTTTGTGGGAAATTTAATATATATTATGTGTAGTATTTCTCAGCCTGAATGAAAAGTTTGTTAGTTACAGTTTTTATATGAAGCTGGAGTAGTTATGAGTAAGCTATGTTGAAATGTTTGTACGTTTATTGTGGATAATTATTTTGGAGTAAGGATATAGGAAGATAAATTTCCTTGACAGGAGCTAATAATTTTAGGCTTTGTTTGCATCAAGTAATATAAGAATACTATAAGCATTACATTCCCTTCTCTTGTGTTTTTCAACTCCTAAACCCATTTTCAGATCTGAAATGCTGCAAATTTCAAATTTTACAACAACTTAAACCAGACAGTAATGTTAAGCATACTACATTTTGTTTTGAAATTGTGAAAAAGATTTCTGTCAAATATGATTTGCTGTCCAAGATTGTTTTCAGCTAAGAAGCCATGTTTCATTCGTTGGGAATTGTCACTTGTCACAGTGTGCAGATATGGAACGTGGAAAACCCTCACTAAATCATGCCTTGATACAATGGAACTATGATTGATAACACGGCTTAATCTTTTGACAAGATGCTATACTGCCCCCATTTTCATTGCAATATGATTTAATTTCTTGACAGCTGTTTACCAGGAAGATGGTCTGAAATAGATGGGCCAACAGTATGGTCCCCTACATCCCCAGATCTAACTCTGATACATTTTATTTATGGGGGATGTGTTAAGGAGACTGTCTGACTGACTCTATGGCACAACAGCCTGATGCCGAGCCTTGGCCTCCTCCCATGTGGGAGGTTTCCTTGTCTTTTGAAGTGTGCATTTATGAATAGTGAGTGACCAACCCAGTGCCTCTGCACAATTTCTACTCCATCCTGATTTGTCTGCTAGAGCCATCTAGTAGTGAATCAGGAGAGACTTGGGTGAGAAATGGCCACTTAATTTTATTTACAAAACATCTTGTTTATGCTTGTAAGTTTCTTTCACATGCCATAAATATATGACATGGGACTACCGGCTTTACTGCCCCTTTGAAGGCAGTTGTGCTACGGATTTTTGTCACCCTTAAACCCACGAACCTTGGGTTCAGTGGCAAGCACGCTGACCACTAGTCCACCGAGGGTGACAAGGAGAGACTGTCTGAACTCCCTAAATGTCTCTAAATCTGAATTAACTTAAAATGTGCATCTGAGGTGCTTGTAAAAAAATTGAGTTGAGAATGTTGTCCAAATTTGAATGAGGTTGTTTACTGCTTTGACACGTAGAATCACCAATAGGGCTTACACTGAAATCAGGTGAGTGGCAGTTAAGTCTTTGACAGCTCTTGTTATGCTCTACAAATTTCATTATTGTACACAATTTTCTTCTTAGAACAAAATTGTTAAGTGTAAAGAACATTTATAAATCACCTTGTGTATATATACACTGGTCATTCCTACTTCTAGAGTTTACTGACTAGTCATTACTAAACACTTATCTGCTTTTGTGTTCTGCTGGTTGCTGCAGATTAACGTTTCTGTGTCAGCTGACAGTAGGTTTGTTATGTGCAGATATCTTGCCGAACCTGATGGCATCCTGCATTGCATATCTGCTGATGATTCTGGCCATTGTGATGTGCACAGGTGAGACATTTGTCATTGTTCACACACTTCTAATGTCTGTTAATGGTAACATGCACCTCTGCCACTGCATGGTGCAGAGGAAGATGTGAGTGTTTACTGCCAGACCTGGCCTGTGGAATACATTCTTCCACCTCGCGGCTAGAAGTCTCATTAAATGTACTGCAAAGATTCAAGTTAACTTGTTTCAACTAGTCACCGTTTTCAGTGGGTTAGTAGCACTTAGACCAGTAATGATAATTTCAGTAGTGCTATTGTCCATGCACATGTTACAGTGGAGTTGAGGGCACGTCATCTGTTCCACACTACATACAAACTGTTTGTTGGTTCTGTGGTGCTCCAGGAGATGGGGAACATTCTCCAGAGTGTGGCGTACATGAAGTATGCACTCGATGGGATTGGGTTTTCCAGAACAAAGACACTGGGTGAGCTTAAACACTTTTTGCTGACGGACATTCTTTGAAATTATGCTACACTACACTACACTGTACTATTGTGTCACCTTATGTGAACCCCCACATCTGGCATATTTTTGTGATACATTTTTCCTTTTGTGTCTTCCTTACTTTTAGAGATCCAGTTCACCTGACATTATCATTCAGCTAAAGCTAAACATATTGTTTCACAAATCTGTTTTCTAATGAATGACAGGAGTATAATTATACTTCTGTACTGTTCAGTGTAATATAACAAAGTGCATGAAAAATGCAAATTAAGAAGAGCATCAGTGGCCATGTTTATTGTTATTTCCGTCTTTTGCTTTGCTTTAAATTAATGCTGATGTACATGAAATCTACCATTCCAATTTTTTTCCCTTGGAAGATATTGCATGTCACTAAAGGGTTTGTAAACTATAGTCAGTGTGTAGGTCATACTGTTATTTCAAAGTAATTGGTTCTGCACTTTGTACAGGACGTGTATGTGAGTCTGCCAGTGAGACCCTGTACCTGCTCCTATTGCTTCTGTTGGCAAAGGGCTTCACGGTGACGCGAGGCAGACTGCGGCTTGCCTCTTCCATCAAGCTCACCATCTTCATGTGTCTGTACATTGTGACGTACACAGTGCTGTTTGTGTATGAGAGACAGGTACATACCATAAGGAGGGACCCTTATGTTATTCTGGGACTAGCAGTAAATACAGAACTCAACTACATTGTCTTAACTCATAGCACACAAGGTTTTCATTTTATATTTTACAGATATTTAAAAAAAAGAATTTATTAATCTTAATCTGCTGAGCAGGCCAGTAACAAAATATTTGTCTCATTGTCTGCAATGACACGGATTAAAGTTATTGTGATGTAATTTTCATTGTTTTAACCTTTTCCTTTCATTTTATCTTTTACATATATTAAAAAAAAAATTATTAATCTTAATCTGCTGAGCAGACCAGTAACAAAATATTTGTTTCATTGTCTGCAAGGACACGGATTAAAGTTATTGTGCTGTAATTTTCATTGTTTTAACCTTTTCCATATGAGCAACTAAAATTGTATTTGTGATTGTAAGACTTAATGAAAATGAGAGGATTAATTTCTAACCACAATGACATTTTTAATTAGCATGTATGAGTGGATAATTTTTTAGTTGCGTGATATTACAAAAGAAGGCTTGAATTTAGCACACACAGACTTCATCTTTATGCGTGTGGTACTATATTACTTTTCAGGCCTACAGTTGTGAACTGATGACGCAAAATTATTGTTTTTATTCATATGGATTTACATATGATGCAGTTCAAAACCCTCATTTCGCTGCTAGCACATTGGAAAAACTTTCCACATAATGTTGTAAACAAGATCAAAATGCTGCTTTAATTCTGATTATGAAGAAGAATTTATGTCAGATGACTGTGATATTGAATGTATGCATGACTTACTAGAATATAGTGTTGATTAGTATTTCAAGAAATGAAGCAAATGCAGGACTATAGGACATCCAGGTTGAATCATATTGTTGCATGATATGTCACTGCAGGATCAACCACTGAAGGTTTTCCATCATTTTGACAAATATTACAGATGCCATCTTTAGTATGAATATGTATTGTGGGGTTTTGGAAGCCTTATATAGGTCAGGTAGTTGGTGGCAGGTGAGATTTGAAGGATCCAAATTGGCAGAACAAAAAGTGGGGTGTTGGAAAACCTTCAACATTATTGCTGCTTGTCCTCAAGAGCCAGATTTATACAGGCCAATTACAAATTAGGTTACCATTTTATAACTTCGGCTTTTGCATCAACAACTGAAGGTTTTCCATCATTTTGACAAATATTACAGATGCCATCTTTAGTATGAATATGTATTGTGGGGTTTTGGAAGCCTTATATAGGTCAGGTAGTTGGTGGCAGGTGAGATTTGAAGGATCCAAATTGGCAGAACAAAAAGTGGGGTGTTGGAAAACCTTCAACATTATTGCTGCTTGTCCTCAAGAGCCAGATTTATACAGGCCAATTACAAATTAGGTTACCATTTTGAAGAGGCTGTAACAAGCAAACAGAGACATTTATGAACCTGAGACAGTTCCTTGATACAACTTTCCCAGAATGGATTGGATGAGGCAGTGCTGTTGCATGGCCACCAAGGTCTCCGGATCTTACTCCACTAGATTTCCACCTGTGGGGGTATTTCAAGGATCAGGTTAATGTTCCGCCTCTCCCATAAACACTGGATGAGCTGAGAAACTGAACTGTCTCTGCTATGGCCATTGTGGATAGGGACATGCTGCAGAGAGTGTGGAATATTTCCTGCAGGTGGGATATTTGCTGTGTTCCCCAGGGGAGCCACATCGAGCACATGTAGATGAAAACTTCAGGTATGCACCTTGCATTTACAATTAGTTTACTGTGAATATTATCAGTAGTGCTCATGCTGTAGTCTCTTCAAACTGGTAACCTAATTTGTAATTGCCCTGTACAGTGAAATCCAGTTGTGAAAGCCTAAGAACAAATATGATGTTTTTTTGTGAGTATCCATGTTGGTGGGGTGGGTGTGGCAATTCATGGTCAGTCATCAGAGGAAGAAGAATGATGTCACAGTCAATGTGGATTAATGACTCACTTGTGTTAGTTATGTAGCCCATACTTCTGTTGAGTTTAAAGTAGATAATGAAAGAGTTGGAAAGAACACTCTGTTGAAGATAAGGAACACTTTCTTTGGCCATTTTATCATCTTTTATATTATGGGTAATAAGAAAGATACTGGTCATTAGAATTCATGTTTTGTTCATAGATGTTATAATCAGTGACACATTTTGGCTTCATCTTTGGTATGTCTGCCGTTTTCCATGGGTTCTATGTAGTTTCTACTATGTGGAGGGTTGATACCATATTTAGCATTGCTTGTCCATGACGATGAGGCTAAGAATGCCTTGCTTCTGTCAGCAAGTGTCTTTACCTGGTTTTAGCTTTTTAGATTCTTCAGCTGAGTCCTTTAGAAGATAATGATTTCAGATACTTTCACATACTGATGGTTTTGTCTAGTAGGGTTTCTGTAAGTTGGGTACTTTGTAGTTCTTGTTCTGGTAAACATGGTAGCCTTTCCCCACAGAACACTGTAGCAAAACCCCACTGTCAACCAAGTGTACACACTACATCATAAATTTACATGGTGCAAATGTAGCCCACTGTACTCTCACACCATATGAACCATTATGGGTGACCACTGCTCACAACCTTGATTTTTTGTGCATGGTTTTGGCAGCTCTGCCATAATTTGCTGTTGTCCATACAAATTGTGACTGTCTCGGACTATGAATTCCACTACAAGATTATTGTCTTCTGATCATGATTCTGATGGACTTGATTTAAGATAACATCTATATCATTATCACTGTCATTTGCAATTTCAGCTATTTCATTCATTTATTTTAATTTCTTTGCTTCTGTTACTGTGTTTTCTTGGGTCTCACAACCATGTAAAAAGGGATTTTTGAATGCATGATATGAACTGTGTCCTCATAGGAAGCCAGCACAAAACTGCTGTAATTTAGACTTAGGTTGGATACTTGTCACATACACAGAACAGAGCTGTGAAATAAATGTGAGGGAATAGAGGGAGAAAATTAAATAAATAGGCAAATAAAATGATTACATGATGCATAGACATCTACATGACCCTTCAAGCAACATCTGTTGGTAGCTGATTGTATGTTTCTTGATATTATTTTTGTATAAGGAGAGGTACGCTAAACCGGGGTGCTTCAAAGCTGAAATTGGATATTTAAAAAATGTTCAGTTTCAGCAGTGAGTGTGTTAAGACTGGATACTCCAGTCCACTTGTCAGCATAGCTATACAAACTGTTGAAGTTATTGTTTGTGACATTATATAACTGTTTGTACCACATTTGTATACCCAAGGGATGTGATAAATTATTCCTGTGTTGTAGGTTTTGTTCATAATCCTGGGCAGTAATACATTGGCAATGCAGAAATTGGCAGAACTGCTGCAAATTGACCATTGTTGTACCAAGTAGGGCTAATAAATGTTACACAATAAAATAATTTACTGCCTTATCATTTTTTTGGTATAATATTTCCATTAAAATAATTATTATATTTGTTTACCGTCAAATCACAATAAAATAGTAAGATAAGATAATTAAAATGATTAAAATATCATCTTATGTTCCATATCGAGCATTCGATTTACATCGGAACATTCACAACATGTTTCGGTTTATCAAACCGTCATCAGGTGTAAATTATAAAATTTTAAACTCAAATTACAATTATTTATAGTTTTTACAATTTTATAATTTTATCATCTTTCTCAGTATATTTTTTGGAAGTTGTGTCTAGATATTATTAATATAACATTATTGTTGAGGTGGTGTTATTGATGTTTATACCAGTCATATATGAATAGTAATCGGTTCAGATGTGTTCAGAGGAGAGATCCAGATCCTCTGAACACATCTGAACCGATTGCTATTTTTATTGTGATTTGACGGTAAACAAATATAATAATTATTTTAATTAATATCACAATATGACGCAGCTATACTACCTCATAATATTTCCAGTTGTTAAACTTTGAAGCATAAGGAAGAACCAATTTTTCAATGCTTGTAGTGTGATTTTACAGCTTAATAGGTCCACATACTTTGTGAATTCACAAACAGCCACCTACACTATATTTTTTCTTACCCCATGCAGTTATTTGATCCTGGAGAGGTTCTGTACCTGTACGAGTCACCGCCTGGTTATGGCCTTATCTTCCTGCGTTTCATCGCCTGGTGGATGTTCATGTACTCCACTCTATTCACACTGAAACACTATCCAGAGAAAGCAAGATTCTACTACCCATTCAATGTAATGGGCACCCTGTGGTGAGTTGAGTTGCTGCCTGTATAAACTTGGTTTGCAGAGTAAAATTCAGGAAAATTAGAGTCTGTTTTTCTTTTGGCAGGTTTATGGCTGGCCCAGCATTTATCCTGGCAGCCAACAACATGATAGACAAGTGGGTGCGTGAGAGTGTTGTATGTGGTGTGCTACACAGCATAGCACTTCTCGGCCACGTCTTGTTTCTTGTGAGTGCACAGTGTTGTAATGAAACAAAATATCGTACAGCTAACATGATCTGCAGAAAATGAAGACTTTGGACATTAATTTCAGATAAGAGTAAAACAGTACTTAATATTCTAAGATAATGCACATGTGAATTGTTTTATTATTCTGTCCACAGAATCTATCCCATCCCAAGCATGTTTATGATACAGCACTTGTTATAATCAAGAGTTGGTGACACTGTGCCTAACCCCTCAAGTGAATGGCCTGTACTGTGCCAATCAAAATATTTAATATATTTCATAATTCTTCTATCTTAGCTGCATGTCTGACCCATCATAAACTTTTCATTCAACTGCTGTAGCAGTGTTCTAAGACACGTGAAAATATCCGTTGCTGTTTATTATGTGGCTATGATTGATATAGTGTTATTAAATGGTTACATGACTAGTCATTAGATTGCAGTTTCTGATGTGTGAACAATGTGCCTGTTTCAGTGCCTCACACTGCCATCCAGAGCTAACAAAGTGTTCCCGTACCATGTTCGGACGACTCAAATAGGAGTCATGCAGGTGCAGGATCTTACTGACTCGGACACAACTTTCCCATTCAGACATCATCAATATGCACCCTCAGCACCACCACGACCAGGCCCCAATGTACACCCACTAGTGGGTGATTGGGTTACAGATGTTCCTTTTGAGCTGTTCACTGTCAGCCAGTCCATTGCCATGGACCAAGTAAGTGCCATTTATCCCATCAATTTCTCATTACTGCCAATAATGTTGGTACTGATTAACCTTCACACACTATACAACATCATTGCCAACAAGCAACCTTGGTAAAATTTAGATTTGTAAATCTGTGGAAATCTAGTCGGCTTGGATTGTCAAAAGAGTGTTAATTCCTCAGCATACAGGTTTTGTGGACCTGAGTTCATATCTCTGAAACTTAATAAATTGTTAGCTGATACTGGTAGTTGTTTCATGAAGTTATTGTCCCTTGTAGCACATAGTAGCTACTTTGAGGGGCGTGCATTCTCCATCAGGGGTCAACTGCTATGTGTTCTGTCCCATTCAGCAGCTCTGCAGCCTCATGTCTAATCTTCCTGAACAGGGTAGAGTGACTCCAGTTGCTGGACAACTGGGTGATGGGGCATCCATAAATCAATGTCAAAAGGTCTATGGATGGTTAGTACAAAAATCATGAAAGAGAAAACAGATGGTAACAGATGTTTACATGAGATTGTAACCAGTCCTAAGCCAACCTGCACAGTAATATACTTGAATTCTGGTTCTGTTTGATGACTTAACCCTTTCCAGTCTAATATTTTACAATTAACTGTTGTGTGTATAAAGGATAGAAACAAAATGGCATGGCATTGTATTGGACTGGATTGTAATGTTTAATGGTACATTTGTCTTACCATAGACATCAATGGATGACAGCTAGTGAAGGTGGCACTTTACTGGGGATTCCCTTTTAAATTACTTGGTTAAATGTTTGTAGTCTTTCATGGTTGAAATGTAAGGGTTGCTGTATATAGGGAGGTGCTACTGGGTTTGACTGTATTTATCCTAAAATTATTATTCTTTTACTATTTCTTCACAGATTATGATTAAATTTACATTTATTTAACTGCTGAGGCTCAAAAAAAAGAAAAGATTCCTTCCATCATTTAAATTCTCAGCTCTGGAAAATTTAAATCAATTTAACCTGCAGTTTTCAGGCCTGAAAACTGTAGGTGTGTACTGCGTGCCATGTGAATGTGATAAAGTGAGGAAAGAGATGGCCTTCTAAATGTCGGTAGAATTTAACCAAGTGACGCAGCTGCTGGCACAAGAAGATTTTATTAATTCGACCATGCTGTTGCTTTGACAGCACAGCTAAACTCTTTCTATAATTTTTGGTTGCCATGACGTTTAACACCCAAAGTAATGCATAGTTTATTGGCACCTCAAGGCATTCTAATTTAAATACCGCAATTAGCACAAAAAAGTAATAGGAAGTTTAGATGTTTATCTTCCAGTGCATACCAAATGCTTAATGTTTTGAAATTAATCACACAAATGATGTCCAAAGTTAGTGTTTTTGCCAAAATACCGAATATATTGGATGGTGACATTTAATATGCAGACCTGGCATCATATGGTGCTGAGGGGTTAGCAGTCTTTGGGACTCTGTATCAAGGTTATAGTTGAGGTACATACATGAGATTTGAACACATGTATGAGTGTAGGGGAATTAAATTTTATTTTCATTCATACATTGGACACCTGTACCTTCAAACTTCAGAAGTCTTCAAATGAACAAATGTATCCTTGTCATTGCTAGGCAACCATATACACTTTCATATATAAAATGAGTGTATATTCATATTTTGTGATATTTACTAGTCGACAATATTCATAAGTTTTCACCGTCATCACACTCATAGACATTATCAATCAGTGTACCAGAGATATTTCTAATATGTGAAGTTTTTACTATCTTACTTTTCTGTAGAAATTAGTAAAACCAGTAATGACATCTGTTTTTATAGTACCTCCACTTTACAGAGTATTCTGACATATGACAGATAATTTGTTGCATTCCAGGGTACCAGACCAACTGCACCAAAGCCACATGACACACATACATTTCAGCAGTCTGATACCAACCCACCACCTGAAAACTATGATGCGTTCCTTGCACCAAGTCAGGTCACCAGAACCTGAGTCAATCAATCATAAACTAAGCATGAGAGAATTAACAAAGTAAGAGGACCTTCTGCTCCATGTCCTGAGGAGATGCTGCAGCAGAACACTCGTAAACTTGTGTGTCAGTGCATGAAAGACATTGGTTTTATGAATAACTTACATTACTTCTCAATTAACTTGGCACTTATCAATAACAAGACATACTTTGTATGCTATCTGTATACAGAAACAACTCGAGCGTAAAGATGGCTGTCTTCTGTAATGTTGAAGCATGTAGACTGGTAGATACTAATCAGCTACACCGGGGATTGGCCAACTTTTCCTTACTGTGTGCTGCATTGGCTATTCATATTTCTATTGGGGCCGCAAAAAAAATTAATGTCATGGACATTAAGCAAAACTGCTTTTCTTTAATCTGAAGAGTGTAGCTAGTATTCACTTGAAAATGGGTATTCAAGCATGAAACCGAGTTAATAAACATTTCTCAATAAGCCCCTAATATACTAATTTTTAGAAAAGAACAAACTTGACTTCATAAAAGAAAGCCCAAAATGTTATGTAAGATGTGTTTGAGAAAACAATATATTTACATTTTCCATGTTTTATTGGTTTTAAAAAATTAAATTAAATTAAATTAATACTAGTCAATTTTAAAAGTTTCTAATGATAGTGTGTCATGTGAAGGGCATTTCAGAAAAGTTCAACCATATAGGGAATTATTACAACATTAGGACAATCTTTGAAACAAGACATACAATTAGGAGTTTTCTTATGAGAACCAGACTGGAAAGAAATCTGCAGCAGATCGCACATTACGTCTGTAGCATTCCCTGTGAATGTGGCAGGTGCTACGGTGGTGAAACAGGCATACCATTAGTGGTGAAACTTCACATATATAGGCACAATCTCAGAGAGAGTCTTCATAATGTTTATATTATCACCCAACAGAATAATATCATCAGCATGGACCAAAAAGTGATGTATCCCATTCAATTGACTTTCTTGGACTTTCCTGATGGCATATTCTAAGGCAAAATTGAAAACAGCAGTGATAGAGCATCTCCATTTCAGGCCATTCTGAATATTAAATGTATCGGACCAATGTTTACATACACAAATTTTGCTAGAGGTTTCACTTAACACATTTTAATTAGCTTGACTAGCTTCTTAGGCAGTGATAGAGCATCTCCATTTCAGGCCATTCTGAATATTAAATGTATCGGACCAATGTTTACATACACAAATTTTGCTAGAGGTTTCACTTAACACATTTTAATTAGCTTGACTAGCTTCTTAGGTACACCAAATTCAAGCAGTTCTCTTTTAACTGATTCATGGGTTTTCTTGAAGTCTATAAATAGTTGATGGCCTATCCCATTTTACTCCCACTTTTCTCTAGTATCTGGCAAATGTAGAAAATTTGATCAATTTTAGATCTGTTATGATGGAACCCACACTGGTGAACCCCAATAATTTCACTGACGTATGGAGTCAACCTCACCAGAAGAATGTTGGATAAAATTTTGTAGATGGTAAGAAAGATACAGAGAGCCTACACAAGGAAATTGACCATCTGAGGAAGACCTTTATACGAAATGGATGATGACAAGTGTGCCCTAATCACAAAACAGATATCACAGATACAGGAGAAGCCGACAGACATAGCACTGGCAACATTTCAAAAAGCTGTCGAACAAATTCATCAGGCTCCTCACCAAATACAGCATGATGACCATCCACATCCTGGACCAATTTTAATGAAATTCTGCTCACTTATCACGACCATCCACATCCTGAACCGATTTTAATGAAATTCTGCTCACTTATCATGACTGATTCATATGTCACAAATGCAAAATGACTTTTGATTTATATAAACAGGTGTTCTAACACACCACAGTTTATAAGCAGTATTAAACAGATTTTGTATGAAGAAATGAATGGTTGGCATGTTACAGTCCAACTCCAGTTACAGAGTATTCACAAAGGAACCATGCCAGATGAACAGTTTTTTTTGTTATTTAACACATTATCGAGTTATCAGTTCTTGGTATTAAATGAGAGCTTGAATGATGATTAATTTGAAAGGAAGCTATTTTGACATACTTCAATGTAATGTACCAGTATGTCTAGAAGTAAAACTACCAAAACCCTCCATCAGGATAACTGATCTGAGATTGAAACCTTTTATTCTGCGATGTGTAATAATTTTATGTAAATTTATTATACAAGACAGTACAGTCACAGTATAGTTTGAAGACTTTGTTATATGCTGGTCACAAGGACTGCCCCTGGAAATTGATGTCTGTGACTGCTCTGGTACTTCCATTGAGAAGGAAGCAGCATCTGATTTTGGCAGACTCAGCTGCAGTGGATTCAAGGAAGGTAGATTTCAGACACTTGATAGACACATTATTTTTAATATGGTTTTTCATAAAGACTTATTTATTCAGGCCTGTCCCCGATTTCATTACTCATACTTACATCCATGTCATTTCAGAAATATCAAGTATGGTTTTGATAGCTCATTTCACAAATACATCTTTTACATAACACAGAAAAATCAGAAGTAATATACAGTAATAGACAGTTCAAGTGAACGGTATGCAGCAGTTCTACCATCTGTTACAATTTATATAGTATAATTCTTTTGTGAATTCCTGTACTTTCCTGCAATAACTCACTGGGATGAGCTGTTGTGATGACTGCCTAAACAACATTTATCTACATTTAACCATTTCCCACTGGAAACTGAAAATGATGGTTTACATTTTTACTGATTTCGAATGGATATTGTAATATGTAGAAATCCCTGGTGACAAGTACTGTGATCCCCCTTTGCAAGAGCTGTAGTTTAACGTGTTTGATCGCCTTCCATGGGAGGTAGTTAACATCTGTGCTGCTGTATAAACTGTACAATAAATAAGCCTCTCTTGATGTATATCTTTTCTATTTCATTAAACATTTATAAGTTATGTGTCATGATATTCTTACTTTTTGCTGATTGGTTACAATTGTGAAGTACCTATAACATGGACACAATGTAACTGATGAGCTACCACCTTGTGCTGTAGTTAACAACTTGCTCAACTAATAAAAATTGTTTTTCTTTATGTCCTCCCATAAAGACAAATCAGTCCTCATCCAGACAGGGGGACACAAAGGCAGTTCTCATGTTTTGTTACTGGCATTTGGTGTTCTATTTCTTTATTCTCTTTATTTATTGGTTCCTTTTGTGTATGAACACCTATCACCATCTCCTTCACTCCAAGGATTAGGCAGGTACCTGTTCTGGCTTCGCAATCACCATTTAATTCCTATCTGTTCACTTGTTAATTTGACAGCTTGCTTCCTGTTATAGGTTTGTATCTGTCCTTGAAACATGTTTCTTTCTGTGTTTATTACACAATGAAAGGGGGAAAATTCCCACAACTGGTGCACCAAGTGAGATCTTTATCATTCACCATCTGAAATACTGCTTGAAGACTGCACAGGATGAACACAGATACCACTGAAATGTGACTGACTGCTACTAAGAGGACAAACAAAGATGAGCTGATAATGGTGCAAACACCATTGGTTTTAAGACCACTACAGTTTTTGGAGTAATCAGATACCTATTGTATCCCTTTTCCAGTACCCATGAAGCAGTATATCAGTTTGTGGGGTCAGATGTATTATATTGTATTAATTCTAAATGATGTATGGTTTTGCGGTTAACTTATCGTTTTTCTTATTCAGAGAATTCATTTCATAGTTTCAGTGTTATAGGGGCAGGATTTTATAGTTGTTTTGTGTAATCTAAAGGATAATAACACCAAATGTCAAAGAGTTATGATGAAATTAATATGTAATAAAGTAGTAGCAAATCTGTATTGTATATTATAAGATGCTACAATATGATAACATGAATGGATCAGTCTCTAAAGCTGTTCGCTAGTACCACAGTGCTGTGATTGCTTTTGTTTCTGCAAAATGTTGGTACAGCTGGAATAAACTCATATTAAAGAAAACAACCCTTTTGTTTATAGAATGCACTGCAGAATTCTCCAGAACTCTGTCTTCCTACCTGGTACTTTTTGTGTTTTGCTTTCTCAAAACTTAAAGCAACAAATGATTGTTAAATTTATGTAGAATAAAAAATTCTATACTTCAGTAGCATGAAGTCGACATTCCAGCATATTGGTTATTGGTTGATGTGTTTCCGACATCAGTGGGCAATGCTGTAGCTTAACACGAATACAATTAGCAAGGTTCAAGTAGTGAATCACAGTTATGTGTGTCACCTTGCTTAGAGTTATACCAACTATCATGCATGTTATGTAATGTGTCCACTAAGGTAACTTGTTTATAGGTAGCTGTACAGGGAAGAACATTAAAATGTTGTCATGCAACATGAAATACATTCTTAACAATTAGTTACATGTATATTCATACAAAGGTGTTGTCCTATTATCATCATTCCTTTTTAGATAACAATGAAGTAAACTGAAGATTTCTGTCTTCTGGGTTGTTGCGCTGTGTAGTCTGGTCGATGTTAACCAACATTTCAGATGTCATACTCCGTCATGACCTCTGAAACGTTGGTTAACATCAACCAGACTACACAGCGCAACAACCCAGAAGACAGAAATATTCACACTCACAGATGTGAAAACCTCAAATTTTACAATTAAGTAAACTACTGATCTAGTAAGCAGTGTTTCTTGAACTGACAGATTATGCCATTTATTTAGGTTTTAGGAACAATGATTAAATCTTTTAAGCCTTTCCTATGCATTGCTACCCCAGTGCCAGTAGACAGTCATGGTGATGTGAGAAAAATGCCACTACGTAATTCTGCTTAGCCAAGTCATCACAGTATGATCATTGCATTTGCTGTAGAGGAAATGGCATTACCTCCTTCCAGTTAATTGAGTCATGCATTGCAGTATAACAGTTACATCTGATGAGGGGGAAATGTCACAACTTGAGTTAATTTAAATTGGTATAGTTCTAATTTAGTTAATTCACATACAGATCTGTCATTTCTGAGCTGTTAAATAGCACAGATACAGTATTTCATAAAGACAAAAACCACATTTCCGTGCACAATGGTGAATATACTAAAAAACATTTGAAATAAAATTATGCATCTTGATGAGATCTATTTTTTATACAATGATCAATTCTTATGAAAATCAAAAAAGTGGCATTTGAACTTCACATGAAATAGGGACCAACAAATATTAAAATTAAATTTGCTGACAAGTTACAGTGTGGACCCCCCAGTATGAAATTTGACTGTTATCCACTGAGTAGTTTTGATTATGAAACATGCTGGTGGTCAGAAAAATGTGAATTCACTTCCATACATTAATTTTTAGGCACTTAATGCAAATAACCTGCTGATAACTGTCTCATGTTAGTTGTACAAAGCATAATGTTAGAAACACTGCTGATGAGAAACAGTAGTTTATATCATTTTGTCTATTTTCTTTGAAATGTGATGAGAGAATAACTTTTGTACAGGAAATTTTAACACCCAGGTCTATATGATCATTGTTAATGAATTAAGTCTGGTTATTCCATGACGACAAAAATCCACCACCTGTGAGAGCAGAGGTAGTTGTTATACTAGCAGCAGCTGTTGTTGGTGTATAGAGTCTGATACCATACAAGATATGATAGCAGGCAAAGTGAAGGATGATAAAAAAAAACTGCAAATGTGTCTCATTCCCCCCCCCCCCCCCCCCCCCCCCCAAATCTTTCCTGGTTGAACTGTATCTTTGCCCCATTTAAACAATGTTTACACTTCCTTATCACATTTAAAATTACACTTCATGATGCAAATTGGTTTAAATTGTTATAAAATAACACAGTAAGAACTGTTTTAACAGAACATCATGTACTTCTTCTACTTCATGTACTGTCTTCCAAAATATAGCATAGGCACTGCACCACTAACGTAAAATACCAGAACTAGTATAACAATAACAACATGATATTTCAACTAACATTCTTTCCATCACATTGAATGAATTTACACTTCATAAATATCTTTTATTTATTGCATCTCACTACTTGAACATCTGTTGCATCTTTTAGCACCTGAAATTTGGTACCAAAAGATAGTAATTATTAACGAAATATGAATTTTGCATATCTCAGCTAATTCTGCATTTATGTTCAAAACAGATTTACAGTGTCTCACTGTAATTAAAAGATACATAACTAAGGAGAGACATTGTCCATGTTATGTCCATTGGTAGGATGTCTGTTTGAGTAAAACGTAAAGAAGGTTATGATGCATCTTCTTACATTTGAAATACAATAATTCAGAATTGGCAGAATCTCAAAACATTAGAGAACCTGGGCTACCACAATGTATTCTCTTTCACACGAAGCAAGGGATTACTGGACAGACAGGTGTGAAAAATAATTTTAATGGTAAGAATTTTAACAGAATAAAGACAACAGAAAGTACAGTTTTGGAATATATGTAACATTGCAATTACTATATGACCTTAGTGGGCTGATTTTCTCCCTCGTGATGATGTCTCCGCTTTCAGTCTGTGCCATTGCACCACTGTGATGCTTGGGCTTCCCAGCATTTCCTGCCAGTGTCTGGTTTCTGACTCGCCAGAACCATCCCTGCCTGAAATTTTTTTACAAAGATCACTTTGTAGTATAGGACATGTCTCTTTATGGCCAGACTGGGGCATTTTCAGGTGTAGATCTGGCATGGGAAACCCCTGACCTACAGACCAGATATTGCATACTGTCACTTTTAATCCAGCCTGTGTAAAGTTTTATAGTTTTTTTAACGCATAATTGTTACTTAAATGTTTTAATAATGCTTGGTTCTATTTTTAAGAAGGATTTGTAATGTTTACTTGTAATATTTAGAAAAGAATTATAATTTGTTTTATGACATCCAGATATTAGCTTGGTAAGAATGATGCATATTTTTAGTTTATCATTACATTTTGGACATAATTTTTTAAACTATTGGTAATAATGTACTTGATGTAACATCATAGCCCACAGCCATGATGAGAAAACTAGATCTGGCCCATGGCTATTTAAAGGTTGCATATGCCTGGTGTTGATGCGCTAAGAAAAAATTCTCATTGTATAAATTTCCCACTATTGTACACATTAAAATTTAGGTTTGTTTTTAAATTGGTTCCTTCACATATCTAAGTTTTGAATAACCAGTTAAGTTCAGATGACTTTAAATGAGTGCTGTATTAAGGTATTTATCAAATTACACATTATTAGCACATGCCTTGATTGAGGACTAAGTCAGTTGTGGATTTGGTATTGCTAGAGATCACAGGCTGAGTGTTTCCTTATTTTCACTGCTATTAAACTCAAGTATTTTCTTACTGATAATAGAAAGTGTTCACCTCACCTGCAAGCATAATGCGACCAATTAGTTCATCCCTCCCAATGTTGTCAAAGTCCATCACTACAACTTCCAGTGAACTCTCCTCGATATTTATGTTAACCACATTGAAGTTGAATGCCTCATTGAATACTGGATTGAGTGTACACTTAACTGTCTTTGTTTTTCGTTTCTCTACCCGTTTGTCTGGTGACCTGAGGCATAACTTCACATATGGATCTGCAAGCACAGACAGAATATGTACGCTCATTGTGGTAGCAGTTTGCAAGTTCAGGTTATCACAAATTAACCATCAAAGACTGGTTAGGCAGCTGTATGCATACAAGACCTGCATCTTGCAATGAATCTATACACAACACACATTTTTCTGTGTATATGGTATATTTATGACAGTCAATAAGTATTGTAAATGACCTATCACATTGAAGCATGCAAACCAGCTAGCTAACACCCTAGTTATGTCACACGATCAAGCACAGCTCTGCAGATATAGGTTTCAAGACACTTGAGATTTGAAGGTTTGCATTGTAGGGCATGTGTATCTAATGATTGTAGCTTTTGAAAGAACAAAAATAAACCCAAAAAATACCTCTAAACTATAACTGTAGTGCTTCTAATATCCCAAGCTAATATAATGAGCAACATGAAATAATTTTAGCTACAAATAAAGGAAAGCATAAAAATAACAGACATAATGTCATAAATGAATACATGTGGGTACAACTTGGCAGCATTTGTTTCACTCTCACTTGTAATCTTCCTCACCTGACTTTAGGTTGATATCCATGGATCGGAGGTCCCACGCCTTAAGGACTGTGACTGTGAGCCTGTCATTGGGCACATAGCAGAGGGACATTAGCAGGTCACCATACTCTGTTGCTAGCTTCAGAGGCTCACAGAATGACTGTTTCTCATGGAGGTCCACCTACAGTACAGTGTGGAAGTAAGTGTTTAGGTTTTCATCTTATGTCATCTTTAGTGTGTATAGCAAATGTCACCATTTGTACCTAGTAAGAATCAAACTGTATCATGTCTAACAAAACTATGCAGTTGTGAATTAGTTACATTTAGCACTTCAATAATAAGCTCATCTTTCCATTCCATATCCCTTTCTATGAACAAGGCCCTGATAACAGTAGTGGTGATAATGCAAACACAATGTAGGTTAATTAAATTAAATATTTGTGTTTGCATTGCGTTCATTGTTGTTTTGGCATCTGCATATAACCAGTGTAGTTGAGTCAACTTTAAATCCATTTATTGACAATACCTGCCAGAGTGGTAGCAAAACTTCTCCTATGGAGTCATCCCTTGTGATGCGATCATAATCAAACACGTGCAGCTGCAGAACTTGCGTCTGTAACTTTTCTTTTGGAATATCTGCAACACCACAACACATTCTGTTATAGATTCGTTTTAACATTATCTTCTCATCCAGGTACTCTATACATCTCACATTTAGGTATCTGTCTACCAACTTACATTGTTAGCTTTCAAGTTTTTACCACGGGGAAGTTATTTGACATCAAAACTGACAAATAAACTTGATGAAATGGTGTGTTAATGAATGTACCCAAGTGACTGCAGCATTTATTCAGATGTTAGCTGTCTGCTCTTGATTTCTCAGTCATAAATCCTAGTGAAGGACAGATGCTGCCCAGTTCTGTCATTTTTTTTAACATCATGATTGAAATTCATTTTCAGGGATGACCAGTTATTCAGCATTTATAAATAAGTATGGATTAGACAGGGGTACAGATTAGGTTTTCACTTAACCTCACATAATCAAACCCTAAGTAACAGTAGATACCAATACTGCATGTGTCACAACGTTGGTAATGCCACAGAGGTTGAGATGGTGATAAAAGTATGGCGGTAGAATTTGATGGGGTATAAAGACTGTGTGCAGCTTGATTTCTGGTCATGGTGGTGGCTGCGAAGTTTTCCTTCCATGTTTGTTGCTATAGTAACAAAATTAAATCCCTCTGCCTGTGGTGCATAGATATAACATGTAGGTATAAAAGACAACATTATAAAACAAGTTCCTATAGGCACAATTTACAAACTGATCATTCTATCAGTACCCTGTGTATACATAAATGAGACAATGCCCATAACAGGAAAATATTTTTCAAAATTATGTAAGTTTTTATGCTGTGATATAATATCCAAGGACCCACAGCTCTACTGAAAGTGTACATGACATCTCAGACAGATGTTTTGATCTGTGCAATAACAGGCTCACTTTTGCAAGAGCAGCTGGACAGTAAAGTGTGGTGATAAAGTAATAGGATGTTTTTCTTTAATGCGTCTCGCACTTTGTTGCCATTGTCATATCTCCACATTGAACATTTCCTTTCTGAAAACAAGGTGATATGCGCTGCTAACACTTAATTAAACTCTTATTGTCCAAATTTGATATACAGGTAACCCTAGATTTGTGCCGCTTTTGAAACCAGCAAGTCAAAAATTGAAAAAAATATATTTTACTATTATTTATAATGTTTTACAATGTTTCTCATATTGATTCTTATACTAAATCGTAATTCTTACATCCCTGATTTTGAATAAAAATTATAAATACAGTCACCTCTGCACTCATTGCTAAGTAGTTGGGAGATAATCTCCTAAAAATCTACTAACATTGTTCAACAGCCACCATGTCTGGTAAGAGAAGTGAATGTGTTGCTAAAAAGTTGCGTAGGTCTATTGCGTTAGAAGATTGCCGATTGCAAGTGTATAAAATATATTTTTTAAGTTCCCTTTATTTTTTTACGTTATTTCAGAGCTTTAAATGTAATGCCATAACTTAATTCGTCAATGTTTGGGCGCTGGGAACGCATGTCATTGACTTCCCACTGATTTACATTATAAAAGAGTTTCAATTTACGCCGGTTCGTCCAGGAACGCATCCCCGGCGTAAATTGAGGGTTACCTGTATACATTTTCTTTTCTTTTTGCATCTTCTATAACAATGTTGCATCTTTTATTTTAAATAAAGTATTATCCATTAAGTTTCTGTGATGAAACCCTGAAGTTTTGTTACTGTTGTGGTAAATTAAGAACTCTGTTATAATACAGCAAATCAGTTCCTGTCATTATAAAAGAAACAGTGCATAGCACTAGTTTAAAATTCACAACTTTGCTCATTGAGCACAGTGAAATGTATAAGAGAGAAAAAGAGTGGGTTGGAGATTCTTGTGTTTATACATGCAGGAATGAAATATGTTCATAATGCACAAATGACCAAACCACAAAAATGGTGAGTGCCAGTGGCTGTGAATAATCATATGTCAGTCAACATGCAGAGCTACAGTACTTCTAATGCTCTACTACTAATGTTAGATTCAGATACTAATAATACCATTTAGAAATTTCTTACTGCTCCTGATCACTACATGGAAGCAAGCCTAACACATGCTTTGCTAAAGCTCTTTGCTCTAAGTAGGGATCAAACTAGTAACAGTCAGAGGCTTTCTGTGTAGAAATATTGCTCATCATTGTGCTGGTTATTCGAAATGTCTTGGACTACAGCTACCTCCTTCTTCACTCTGCAGATACGCGAGAGTCTTCTGAAATTTTGCCAACCCTAATCACTGAATAGAATACATTATTCACAGAGGTCTGTCTGAAGTGGAAGAATTTATAACCTAATTCAAGAATGTTGAGAATCGTGATATAACCGTTACCTTTAGTGTATAGAATATTCCACTGACCAGTCCAAGAAACAGAATTATGGAAGATGTAACCTACTTCCCTTGATAAAATTTAGAAGTCTTCAGCAAACAATGGTTTATTCTTCTTTAATTAATAATACTTTCACAAACATAGGTATATTTTCTTATAACCTACCCAAATCAGTATTCATTTGTAATCTGATACTTCTACATGATTTCATATTAAAATCTGAAAGATTTATATAATATGTATATATATATATATATGTGTGTGTGTGTGTGTGTGTGTGTGTGTGTGTTTTAAAGGCAGTGGGCATAAGTGTGACTCCATCAGATACTCTATTGTAAACTTCTATTGTCAACTGTCATCACAAAATGCTCAGAAAAATTTGAAGCTCATTCCAAAGTCTGCTTTTCATAAGGCCCCTTTGCTCTTAACCACTTCTCTGATTATCGCAGGATATCTCACGTTGATGATTTTTACAAAAAGATATTAACCCAAATAAATTTGGGATAATATTTCTCTCCCATCCTGTTATTAATATGTGGAGTTAATTTGGGTTGTGAAATAAATACGTATGTCAGACTCTAGATTTCAATAAATAATGGATTGATGTACTTTCATAAGCCATATGTGTTTATATACATTTATGCTAAATTGCACACAAACAGGAGGACTTATATGCTTTTGTAGCATGTGTTATAAATTCATGCACTAGCTGCAGTGATATTTGTGTGCTGTGATTGTGAATAAATTAATTCTTACAAATAATGGAAGGTGATCTCAAGATAACTTTGTACAATAATTATATAACAACATTTAGCTCAGTACAATTCAATATTTTGTATCAAAGCTTGTATCAATAATTTCATTTTTGTGGATATATTCCAGTATCAAAACTTGTATAAATAATTTCATTTTTGTGGATATATTCCACATTCGAAACAAAAAATATTTTCAGGAAAAATTAATCAGAGAAGCAATTAAATCTGTTTATAATCCCTACATACAACATGCATTGCTTTATCTACTGTATTCTGCAGAATGTTTGCAAGAATTAATTACCTGAAGTAAATTTAAAATGTTATCAGTGTGGGAATTACCAGTATTGACAATCCTATAACAGTGTCATTCCCCTTCTGATACTGTCATCACAAATGGCAGTTGAAATGTTTGCAGGACTGATTATCCTCATCAGGAATTGCCTTCTCCATCCTGTTGGCATTAAACTTGTCTCTCAGCAAACAGGTCTCATGCTTCAATAGTTCCAAGGAAACTTCACATATTTTAATTAATTTCAGGTCAGTTTGGTTTAGTTCATAGTTAGAGCACTAGACTCTGCTGTAGGAACCTGACATCTACAACCTATCAGATTCAATATGTGACCACAGTCAAATGCAGCAGTTTGTGAAACTCACCCTCGAAGCAGAATGTCTCACACCAGTGTGGATGATGCATGTTCTTCTTGACCTTTGTCTTGAAGTATTGTTTCCTGTCAGGTAGCAGCGTTACCCAAACATAGGGATCACACTTCCCAGGGAAGAAATCTGTCATTGGGAGGTTCCTGGCCTGTACAACAATAGTCATTAGAACAGAAAAATTATACACCTATTAGAATTAAAGCTGAAATACAAGCAGGCCATGAGTTCATTGGAAGAAAACTGTACACTAGAAGGAAGGTCTGGATTATTGTTCACAAGGAAAAATTAATATTGGACCAACCAACCAATGGAGATCTTAAGGGGGCTGGAACATGTCACTGGGCATAATCCTTGAAACTGATAAGAATTTCTTGAGGTATATATAACCAAATGGTTTTGATTTTGATGAAAGACTCTCAAAACATTGGCAGAAGATATGGTTTATTCACCATTCAGCCACCTGACGCAGCTGGTAACCTGAGAATCTTTCATCAACTTCAGTCACCGTGAAAGCTTCACTTTATACATCGGTTTTGATCTTCTTTCAACTTCCTGTCCAGTGTACCATCCAAAGGATACAGATGTTGGCATTAGCATAAATAAATAGACCTGGAATGCTTTCATGAGGTCTTTAAATAATACAATTTATTCTTTTATGTAGTTTGCACTGATATGGAACAAAAGATTCACCGAGACTGCACAGAATGTACTTACGGACAGGATGAGGACTTTGAGCTTGGTGTCATGTGCATTGTACTTGAGAGTGAAAGATATATGTCCCCTGGGGTGCTCCATGATGCTCTTGTCCACTTGCAGGGTCACTAGATCCTGCTGCAGCTGTTGTGCCTAGAAAAGACAATTAATTTTTTAAACAGTTTCACGATACATTGGCCTGTGTCAGTGTGAACTCCATTAGAGGCAATCATAATGATGTAGCTGATGTATACAGCAATTCTGGATTCTTTGAATGACTAATTCAAAATTAAGGAGAGCTCAGGTTTAAAAGGCTAAATTGCATGATATGAAGATTCTACTATATTTTCTCACATTTATGTGGTGTAGGCCTTTACCACAAATGTGGCTGTGGCTATTGTGTCATGGCAGTTTTATCACTGCAAATGTTGCTACGTATTTCATTTTGCCAACTTATGGCTGTCACTCATTGCCCTGATGATGGAGGCAAAAAGGACTCCTGATATGTTGGTAAACTTTTATCAGACTACATAGTCTTACAACCCAGAAGACAGCCATCTTCTTTGTACTTTCAGCTGTAAGAATCTCAAATCCTACTTATAGATATAAAATCATTAATTCTGATATGGAGGACAAGCCACTACCATGTTTTTGCGAGTGGATGTGTGTATATCTTTAGTTGGCATATCTGAAAAGCAATTAGTTACTTTTAGTTAATGAATTCTGTATTTTAGTTGGATTGTTTTTTGAACATTTAGGAGTGAAGAAAATATCATACATACAGCAATGATTACAAGAGCATCAGTAGTACGCCAACATTGTTATTGATATGTAATGAACTGAATATTTTAAAGGAACTGCTCCCAATTTGTCACATGGGGAAGTGAAGCAACATGGTTTGCTTTTTATGCATTAATGAGTCTTTTACTTTCTAATGGGCTAACATTTTTGCAAGCAAGAAACAGTTTATTATGCTGTTATTAGACATATGTTCAAGTCGCACTGTGTGAGTGGCTGGAGAGTGATATGAGTAGCCACACTGAGATAAGATGGCCCACTTATAACAGGGGGATGCAAAGTGCACTCTTAATTTTATCTTACCCTATGCATTTTAATGAGAAAAACCACGTATTTCGAAACGAGCACAGTCAAGTATCAGGAAGGAAGGAAAGACGGAAGACGATTTATGCAGCAGTAGATAATTTGAAAAGTCATAAGAAGATTTATTTACAGTTTTAAGCTACAAGAAAATAGAGGCCGGCTCTGAAATTGTTAGGGGAGATTGGCCTGACATGAGAAGGTAAAGTGGCACACCTATGTTACAAATGTGTTTATCGAATGACCTGGCCTGACATGAGAGGGTAAAGTGGCACACTTATGTTACAAATGTGTTTATCGAATGACTTCAAATTTCGCGCCATTAGGTTCGTTGTTTTGGTACTCCTGCGGAAGATGGTGTATTCAAGTAGCGCGGTTTCCGTGTTTGGAATATGTTTCCTGGCTTTTTCCTTGCGATATATGAGTGGGAGTTCATCACTATCAGTAGCCCCAGAGTTCATTGAAACATATATCCAATAAGGTTAGTCATGATTAATGTTAAATACTTCGATCGGTGTTTCTGGTGTATAAGTACAGCCAACTTTGGGTGAAATGTCATACCATGTACTGCCACAGCTGTTTTTAAAAGATAGGTTTAATTTCTCTCAGAGAATGGTACCTATTTACAAAAAGAAAAATGTACAGGCATTCATGGTCGAAAGGAAATGTGGCCAGAGCAATCAATTCAATAAAGAACAAGGAAGTTGACTGGCTTAAAGCTACAAAAACATTTAATGTTCCCCAAGCAGCATTGAAACATCAATGTTATGTAAACATAAACTTGTATAAAGATACAACAAAGAAATTGGACTGTTAAGAGTCTATATTTAATCCAGATGTGGATAAACCGGTTGTAGTACATATTCTAGATTTGGAATCTTATATTTTTGGACTTTGAGCTAGTGATGTTCAGAAATGTAGCATTAGATGAGGTAGAGAAAATGGCTATTGAGGACAGATTTATTAAGAATAAGAGGATGACAAGGATGGCAGGTTTGTGCTGGCTGATTTGTTGTTGAAACAGACATCCAGAAATTTATCTTAATGGGCCTGAGCCAACCTTTGCAGCTTGTGCATAAGCATTTAATCAACCACAAAAATTTTAGAAAAAAAATTTAATCAAAAGAGATGAATGAATTAGCTTTGAAAAAAGTTCAGAAACCAGCTGAAATATTTGCTTTCAAAGCCAAAAGGCACAATGGTACTTCAACAAGTGCAAAATGGGGGGTGAACATCACAGTTGTAGTTTGTGTCAGCTCAACTGGATAGAATGTTCCACCAGCCTTAATGTCCCATAGGAAATGGTTCATCTCCTTACCATACAATAGCAAACCTCCATAAAATCTATATCTGTACCAGGAATCAGGTTATGTGACTAGGGAATTACTTTTTCAGTGGTTGGAACACTTTCTGTTGTCTGTCTCACATAATGCAGAGGGAAGGGTTCTCTTACTTCTTGATGGGTGTTAGAGCTTTTGGATATGCTAAGCAGTATGAAGTGGTGATGTGCCTGCCATCACTGCATCCACAGGCACAGACCTTTAGATATGTTTAATTTTTAGACCATTGGACATATTTTATAACAAAAATGACCAAGTGATCGAAAAGTCACCCTAGAGTAACAGTTACTCTATATTTGAAATACATTCTGTGCAGCATACATGATAGATGCCATTATTCAGAATGCTGTATCTGGATTTGATACAAATGGAATCAGTCCACTTGATTTGGATATATTTCCAGATAATCTGCGTCTGCCAAATGCTATTAATGACAAAGACATTGGCCCAAAACAGGTTAAATCTGTTGAGGCAGATAAGAACATGATGAGAAATGATGAAAGTTCATGCAGTAACAATAAAAATATTAAACTTATTATAGAAAAAAATTCTCCAGTTCCTCATTTCTCTATAGGAAAGGAGCTGGCAAGCTTACTGGGAACTAATTACTGGCTGTAAGTACATATATACCGGAACTCAAGACCAAAGTTGTGGGCAGGGAAAGAAAATGAATGGAGAATGTCTCAAGAGGGTTTCTACAAAATGCCAGCTGCTCTTTAGTCCTTCAGTTGAAGAGGAGGAATAGAAGGGCCTGTCTAAAGAGCACATTGCTTGCGTCTGCTGATTCAGTCAGCCAGAATCAGGAGAGCACTGGTTAAAATAAATGTTGTAAATGGTGTCACTCTGTGCGCTGGAGTCTGCCACACAGCCAGACTTTTTGTGAGCTTTGTACACAGACATAACAGCACAGAGTATCTTCCTTTGTCAGTCAATATTTTTATTACTAATGCTTCATTTACTGCCTTACACTTTATATGAAGAAGTTAACTTGCACAAAATTTTTAGAACTTGATTATTTGAATTCTTTTTTACTTTGTCATTAATAACAGCCTTCTGCTTTTACTGTGTTATATTTCTCTGTTTTCTCTTTAGCTCCTCTGTGCTTAGTGTGTTTTTTATGATGACAAAATTACATGTTCTTTTACCTTTATTAGTAAACTTATCACTATATAATGATAAGAACATAAGTTTGTCATTTCATCCAGAGCCTTGGCCTAGAATAATATTGTGGACATTTTGATAATATTTATTCCCGGGCATGACGTTAAACTGCGTCCACAGACCGCGTGACCACTGGTATAAGTGGTCCCCCTCTACCAAGTGCCAACAGCCTCTTTGGAGGGTGGATGAGTGGGTGGAGGTTCAGGGCACACTCATGCCCTTGGGGTGAGAAATCACCCCTAAAGGCAGATGAACCCGGATGGGTCAACGGCATAGGATGCGGAAGGCAAGGGGAATCCACCGCATTAAAGATCCTCAGGATTTCCCAAGTATCAGCAGCTGAAGAGCTGCTGCCAACCAATCCTAGGATTGATTACAAAAGAAGAAGAAGAAAATATACCCATAAGAAGACAAGAGCTGCATGTAACGAACATTACAGAAGACATGCAGACACATATGCAGAGGACAAATCTGATGTGTTAAAAGAATTTACATTTGTAGTATGCCACTTTAGGCTAGTCTCCCTAATTCCTGTCATCCAAGAAAATGCCAGCTCCCAAGGAGGCAAGACATCAGTAAGGAAACAGGTGATGAAGTTGGGTTTTAGATGTTAAACACATTTTTTAACACAAAATTCTCTACAGTATTTATCTCTTGCCAGATTTGTGGATGTCTTTTGTCATGAACTTTTTTCTTCAGATGGACATTCAAGAAGTCACTATTGAACACAGTGAAATTATATCTTTGAGATCTTAGAGAATTAATAAAAACCCACAAGAAGACAGATATATGTATGTAGATGAGAGATCTTTTGCCAATGACAATCGTGCTTGACTCATAATGTGGCTTTGCCATTACTACTGAAAATATCAGTGTTTGACTCATAATGTGATTTTGCCATTACTACTGAAAATATCAGTGCATCTCTGACAAAGACACTTCTGTTCTGGAAAACAAGTCAGGGAAGAGAATTATTGTGGAGTACAAAGACAATATAAGAAAGACTTTACAGGCTTAAGGCCAAGAATACATGAATACAGAGGTTGTGCATAGGAAGATTTGGATTGAAAATGAAGTGATGCTTTTCAGAATAACATGGAAATAAAATAACAGACGAGGAGAAAGAAAGTGTCCTTGTTGTATGCTATAGCTGGGTCGACTATGACAGCCAGACAGCGTACGTATTTGGACTAATACAAATTCATAGATGGGTTAAACGAAGATGAATCTAAGCGTGCAGTGAGTCTGAAGTAATATGTTGGGCATCCTATTGTTGATTCTGAAATAAGATTGTCCAAGACTGCATTTTGTACTGCTTTTGGTATTTTAACAAAATGTGCAAGACATTCTGCACATGGTCCAGCAATTTACAGTGCTCTCCAAATGTGGATGGTAGGGACAGGCACGCCAACAGAACACATGCAATAAAGGAGGATTTGTTGAAACTCTGACACAACATATAAGTTCTTTCCCAAGGTACAGATCACATTAAAGTGTTAGAGGTAATCCTACCTACATTACTTTTGCACTTACTGTGGAAGCCATGTACAGGTCTTACTGTAAGAAGTGTGAGGAAATCTGTGTTGTATCTTTTAAAGGTTAATATATCAGTGTATTTTCAATATAGATTTTAATACTGCTTTCAAACTGCCTACATATGATGCAGACATCATGATGATTATAAAAATTATTCACGTGAAGAAATGCCTTTACAGCGTGATACAGTTTCTGTAAGTTCAGCACGCTGATGGTACATTCAAAACTAAAATAAACAGCCATGGCATTGATACTCTAGTTACAGCTTTCATCAGACCCTTCCAATACCACTCATGGCATTATAACCATTCTATCACGCGTAGAGCAAATCTGAGTCGAGAAGAATCGATTTAATGTCCTTTCACTGTTACTTGTTACATGGAGGAATTTATCCGTCTTTGTCCAGGTTTTGATTTGGTTTAATGTGTTGAGTTTTGTCAACAACCGGCACAAATGTCTTCTTATGTATCGGTTAGTCGCGTTTCTGCGTAGGTTGCGAATAATAATCACCCTCGAGCAGCCATAAGTCCAATGCACTTTGAGAATCGCGTGTCCTTACTTCTGCAAACAAATTCCACTTACCATTGCTTGTTTCCTGTCCTCCACGTATGGCAACACCCTGACGTTTGGCACCATGGGCAGGGACTCGAGGATAGAGACCGTCACAATGCCCGCCTCCAACGATTTCTTCCTGCAAGTATTGAATGGTTCTCAGAACATGCGAGACATTTGTGCACATTACATTTTCAACAGTCTGGTTTGACCGCCAGAAAGACCCCAGATCTCTGATGAGGACAGGATGTGATGTCTCAAAGTGGATAAGACAAAAATAAATTCTCTAGCAATCAAGTGATTTCGCGATGTCGGAATAATCACTGCTTTAAGGAAATAACAATTACAAATATTTGAGTTTAGTTAAAGTAGGTTTTGTTTTATTTTTAAAAATGTTTTGTTCGTAGTTCATGAATAATGAATGCAGTTGAATAAAATTTAATCCAATTTATCGTTTTTAACGTGTCTTTCGCGGTTAAGCTACAAACCCATTCCAACCTAAGTCAATCGCTTAAGAAATCTATAAATATCTTCTTCATCCTACACGGTAATTGACAGTGGACTTCGATTGTAATCTTCTAGTTTTTGTAACCACTGTACGATGCAACAAGTGACAAGACCACAACCAATTTATTTAACGACGTGTTATCAAGTGCGATGATAATGTAGAATCAAATGACATGGAAAGGCAGCGAGGTATGGTATATCAAGAAGTGGACTAGGAAACATATTTTACGAGCTATTTTCGGGGCAGCGAGGTATGGTATATCAGGAAGTGGATAGGAAACATATTTTACGAGCTATTTTCGCTTAAACACTGAACAACCTCCTAGGTTACAGCGTCATTGCAATGGCAGCTTCCCTTTAAAGGGTCGGCTGTGCCACCCAGCTGTCTGATTGATTTCCTTATCGGCAAGTACAGCAAGCGGTTGTGCCCCAGAAATTGACAATCGAGCGCATTGTGTTTTACTTCCAGTTAACTGAATATGTTTTGAAGACCGTCCTGTCTTAGTCCCTTTGTTAAGACTGGCAGCAAAAGCGGAATTTTAGTGTCCAGAAACTCTGTGCCGTGAAAGAATTCTTTTACGCCGTATTCAGTAATACGCCGACTTAGCTAAAATCATTCAACATACCGGCACTGAAGACACGAAACTTGTGATTCAGCTATGAAAAAAAAATGTCCAAGACATGAATAGAAGAATATGGCTGTCTTCTGGGTTGTTGCTCCCTCCATCATCAGGGCGATGACGGAGGCAGCAAGGACCTCTGAAACGTCGGTGAACTTCTACCAGAATGCACAGCGCAACCCAGAAGACAGCCATCTTTAGATTCACCGCCGTGAAAACCTCAAATCCTACAGGAATAAAAGAATTACTTCAGTCCCCTGAACCTATGTCATGTTTACTATAATTTGCCAGTTTTGAACAATTATTGCAAAAAGTATTCAGGAGTTCGGAGGTGTCAACAAGTAGCCATAGTTTAGCTGTCAGGCGCTGCGCTGAACGAATATCGCTTGAATCCGTTGCGTGAGAAATTACCTGGAGGGCGCGCATTTGTGGAAGTAGCAGCACAAGGCCAGAGTGACGCCCAGGGTGATGGGAATCGCGGTGAGAAGCAGGTCGGTCACTTCCATCACCACCTGCAACAAACACAGTTCATTGCACGGAGGACACAGATCAGACGTTGGGACTTTCTGTTTGTCACGTCCGGTGCTTATGACGGAATCATGGCCGTGGGCTATAACCGTTGCTCGTGGTGTGTAAATTGTCGTTACTTGACAGAAGATTATCCAATCACGGAGGTGCAACCGTTATATTACATCAGCAGTGGTGGGAATGCGTCCAAATTGGGAAACTCGTTGCTATATTATCGTTGTTGCACAGTTTCTGTTTTATTCAGGTCGACAACAACGAAAATTTTCCAGACTTTTTTGTGTTGCCAGAACTTCACACCTCCCTTTTCTATCACATCCACCTATTTTTCCTCTCTTCTTGATGTACCTGGCAGACTGCACGATGGCAACCATGAACGCCATCTACAAAGCAAATGCCATTTCACCGTACGGATGTTCTCAACAGAGAAAATGTTCGCTCAGATTGCACAAGACTACAGAAATTACGATATTGTTTTGTAACATTTTTGGGGTGAAACCGCCGGTTTAGATGTTCTCACACCCCATTACTTTTAGAAATTACATAAGAGACCAAGAATGTGGTTCAGAAAACTCATCTGCTTCATCTCATTGGACAAATCAGGACGATATATCGATTACGCCTTCTCTGAAGGAAAAGTCGCTATTCGATTCCATGGATCGACACATAGTGACTCAACTGTTTCATCAAATGTCGAAGAAATGACATGACTTGTTTCCAATTGGTTTCGTAATGGCGATGCAACCGTTATATTTCGTGGCGACGAAACGCGATTGCAAAATTCAAATTGAGTCGGTGCGTTGTAAGCACCGATGATAATGTGGAGAAAGCAACACTATTTGGTGTCATTTGATCGAGGCATGACAATTTAGCCAGTACGTCTGATTCTGATACTGCATAATCGTAATGAAAACAGTCTGGGCGTTATAACCATTGAGGCTGATATAAAAAGATAAATTGTTAGTTATGTAAAAAGTGTTGAATAACCAATGCGACCGAGTTTACTGCCTTCCCTGTTCTTTCCTATAACGCCTAGAATTGCGGTTAACTGTGTGTTTCATCTACTTTAGTGGTCAATAACCTGACATCTTGTGAGCAAAATTAATTCATGGGTTCCGTCCTGTTGGATGCGGGGCTTATAACTTTAAATGCCGTTTAGATGATCAAAGGACCGAATGAATCGATTAGACGCATGGCAAAGCGGCCCCTAGTCAAAGCAGCGTTAAACATCCAACGCCACGTTGGATGTTTGTGGATGTCTGTGAAAGTATTTAGCTTCTCAATCAAGCACAATCTAAACAAATTCACCACAAAGTTACGTCCTCTTCGTAGTACCTTCTGAAGGCTCCGGATTATCGTGAAAAAACTTCAGTTGTAAACCAGTCTAGGAACGAGGCTGTGGGTACCGAGTGGGACCTCTTCAGTTTCAAATGTTTCTTATATTTCACATTGACTAGGCCGTCGTTTTCAATGCAAGGAGCTTCTTAACCGTTTACGGTTATACAGGGTTTTTGAAAAGTCTCGAAACCTACATTAAATTATTTATTGAAGGTTGAAATTCAGTACAGTTTGGCAGGATTAATAAACACGCAATGCCGCTGTAAATATACGACAGCCCACTCACGATTCTTCTGTGCGAAACAAACAAATAGACAATTATCTCTTCTGGCGAACCATCTCGCGGACATATGAGCTGTTCACCAGATTGCTTCAAACCTGAGGAAAAGAATGAATGTATTCATTGCTGAACGCGGCGGGCATCTCCAGTACTTAATATAACATTATTTGTTGTTGTTTCCTGATATCAGTGAAATTTATTCTTTGACCAATAGGACGCCTTGTTTCCTGATATCAATGAAATTTATTCTTTGACCAATAGGACGTGTCAGGGGCGGGTTGCATAACTTTCGATCATAAAATCACTATAACATGTCTCCTACTTTAATAGACTGAACTAGAGTCGTATAGTAGAATTTTTTTTTTATTGTTTACGTATTTGAACGCACACACAGAAATAAAAAATATTAATGATTAATGAACTAAACTTAAATTAAACAATAAATAGTAAACTAAATTACATTAAAATGTTGTTACCTTTGTTTGGAGTGCATTAATAATAAAATAATAATCACAATTAATTTAAAATGTTATAACAATTATTTATTTTAATCCGTCTGATCACAATATTTAAAATGAATGATATTTTGTTATCTTAATTATAAGAAATTTTAAATATTGTGATCAGACGGATTAAAATAAATAATTGTTATAATATTCACAATATGACGAAATTACACTATCTTAAAATGTTAGTAATATATAGGAAGTGTTCTTTTATGAAGCGAGATGTCACTGAAATTGTACTATTGTCTTAAATTCATCAATTACAGCATCTTCATTGACCGATGTTGCAACGTCCTGATTTACGTAGAGATGCGTTAAGTTTTGGAGTCGGTCCTTCGTCGTTGTTGAGCGCAACTTGCATTTAACGTGGGATAACTCGGGGAATGCCCTTTCGCACGAATAGCGTGTGACAGGAACAAGTGCAAAATCCCGACTCTCGTTTGCGAACGAATTAAAGGTCCCGCATCTGTCTCATGGGTTTAAGCGATTGAACCGTTCGTTTATTGACGTTTCCTCTTAAAGAAATCGTCGCTTCGCAGAAGCCATATTTCGGTTTCCGATTCGTCTAGAGCAACGTTTCTCAACCTGTGGTACGCAAACCGATGTTAAGTGGTACGCGAACTAATTAAGAAAATCAAAAGATAATTCAATTCAATTAATTTATTTACGTATTTGCCAACAGCAAGAAGCCAATAACAGGCAAACACTGATAATACGAGGTGCGATCGGAAAGTTTGAAGACTGCGCGTATAAAAACCCGTACACTTATCTCAGGTATTAAATTCATCCATCACCCTCGAAGTAGTTCCCCTGGGAGTGAACACAACGATCCCAGCGCCGCTGCCAAGCCTGGAAGCATCCCTGGAAATCTTTCTTTGTCAGCCTGTCAAGCACCATCTGCGATTCTGCCTGAATCTCTT